CAATAAATGGTTTGGCTCAGAAGTTTAACATGTTTTTCTACAATCATATCATTAACAGGGCTAAAAAACAAAAAAATATGTATATAAAGACTTTTCAATTGCTAATGAACACGGTGTTTATCATTATAAGAAAAAAACCCATCTCTGTTTTACATTCAGAAGTGTTGGTCTGAAAAGGCTCAGGTCCTGGTAAAGCTTTTCTGTAGCTTGTTTTCGTGAGCCAAACTGTGAGTAGGAAGTTGATGGGTTTGGATATTCTGGCCGTTTCCCTGCACTGCGGCAGAGGCAGATGATCTGATGTTGGTGTCTCTGTAAGCAAGCGAGAGGGAGGAAGAGAGAGGCAGAGCACACGCTGCAGGGTCTGACACCTCATCACACCTCATCAGTAATCAAAGATTAGCACATTTCTGCACAGATGGCTGTGGATGTTTACTATGGGCAGCTTTTGCTTGTGACTTCCTGTGATACACAGTTAGCTTTATTTATTTATTTTTTATTTTTTAACCCCCAATATGGCAGATTTGCCTGCACCAGGAAATCAAAAGTGACAGGTTACATCTGGAATGTGTTGTGTCCTTGTGGAGAGATTTAAGGAGGCAGGATGTGCTGTTCATGTTGGACAACAGCACTGAAGGCTCGCTGCATAAATCCTTGCAGGTCATCTTTTACAACCCAGACCTGCAGCAAATCTGTTCACCCAAACAAGAACTTTGATTTATTGTAATATTATTATTCTATAACCATTTGCTGTGCATTCATTTGAGTGGAGGTCTAATGTCCACATACATATTTGTAGTTAAATCATTCCATGATAATTAAGATTTAAGATGATGAAATGAAACACATGGATTTATTTTCTAATTAATAATTAGCATGTGTTACAAACCCCTGTAAGTTAGCTTTAGATTGTTAAATGTTCTTCCTCTTAAATAACCCAGCTCCTTCAAAGTGAGCTGGTGTTTTGTGATGGAAGCCAAAAAGAAAAAAAATATAGGGTTGGTGCTGAAAAGGTAGCGAACTGTGCCCTGTAGCCAAGCCATCAAGGTAACCAGCTACAGCTGAGTGGGCAAATGGAGCTCTCTGTCCAGATGTTGGCCTAATTTACCACGACCAGCAGCGTATGTGGCCCATTTTCATGTCCTCACACACCCAGTGTGTGTACGTCTGGGTGATGTCAGCATCTGCCCCAGGTGTCGCTGCACTAAAACCCACCGATGGCCCCTAATTCACTTGGGTTGAAGCAGAGCGTTGGAGAAAACAGAAAACGACTCAGGTTCACCAACAGTGTCTGATGTGATCAAAAYAAACTGATGATTAAAATTTTAAAGGTATATTAAATCAAATTCAAATAGAAACTGACAGGTGAACTTTTTTTAAATGAACGAAAACCTTATGATTCCATAACAGTTTATATAAACACTATTTTGGGAGTTTTCTTTAACAGATTATTTGCTTTAACAGCTCTTTGCCCTCAAGAACATGAGTGTTGCAATATAATCTGCACGTGTGTCAGTCTGAGTGTCTGTTTGATACCAAAGAGATGCATTTATTCAAACTAATAACATGTTCTTTAAACTTTAATTTGGGTTAGCTAACAAAAATAGCTGTTTTCTGTGATTATTTCCTAACAGTGATTGATTGGTTTATGGTTTTTACATCCTGCACCCTCACAGTTGTGTTTTWATCTGACAGCCTGAGCTCATTTCCAGGAAGCAAGTTAAAGTATGATGTTTTCTACAAAACCAAAGAAAKGTTTGTGCCAAGATGGTACATTTCAGTTTAGCATTTCCCAGCATAAAAGTTGTGCATTTTACTAAGGAGATAGTGGAAAAACAAAACTGTTTGCATTGTCTATTACTGTTCCGTCAGTGTTAGCGAGAACCAAAACCATGGTATTTGTCCACGATGAAGACTTGCACAATGAATATAGTCTGGTTCAAAAGTGTAGAAAATACCTCAGCTGACTCTGAGAGTTTGTGCGACAACACTTCCTGTCGAGATTAAAGCGCTGAACGTGATTCCTAAAGCTTAGTGAGTCAATAAAAAACTGTTTATTTGCTCTGTGAGTGCAGCCTTTCCCCCCCTCTCCCATCCAAAGAAACCGTGTAGCCAGAAAGCCACGTCGGCTCCATGTTGCTGTTTTTCCTGCAGATGCCAGTCCTCTGCACCGACTCATCAAAGTGTGAGGCGGCAGGAGGCTGCTTGCTTCTGCAGGTCCTGCAGCAGCATTCGTAAGGCGTCAGGCCAGACTCTGTCACATCTGCAGCTGCCCGGGCCAGATGTGCTGCATCTGAAGACAGACGACAGAAGCAGTTCTGTCTGTCTGTCTGTCTGTCTGTCTGTCTGTCTGTCTGTCAGTCTGTCTGTCTGTCTGTCTGTCTGTCTGTCTGTCCGTCCAGCCTGTTGCTTTTCACTGAACTAAACCATGTTTTTGTTTCGGTCTATGTTCATCACGTCATTAAAAATAGTCTGCCGTGTTTTCATTTTCTTCGTCTGCGATCAGAATTCCCTGAAGAGCAGCTATGATCTGAGATCAGGGTTGAAGTAATGGAAAAATGACACTGATCCCCTACATCCACCCCCTGGTAAAAATTTGCCTTATCCTTAACGAAACAAGCTCCTCTGTTTTGTATYGACACAGAGCCAGTTTTGAGGATTTATAAGCTCTGATAAAGTAAAAAAAAAGATAGTTCACTTACCAGTGGTGGGCACAGTTCCCCTAAAGCCCTAAAGTACTAATAGGGGAACTAATTTCTTGATTAGTGCTTTAGGGCATTTGCTATTTTTAAATTCATTAGTGGATTAGCACTTGCCAAATTCATGGGCTAAATTTAGAAGCACTAACTGAGGTCTTTAAACGTTATTGATCAGCCTTATTGTTCACAGTTGAGGGTGAAAGCTGTCACACATTTTGTTCATTTGTGTGTCACTTATCTGCAAGGTCACGTGTCAAACTCAAGGCTCGCGGGCCAAATGTGGCCTGCAGAGTGACTCCCATTTGGCCCGGCAAGGGCACTAAATGACAATATTCTGCACATAGTAAATATTGTCTCATGTTGACTGAAGAATGTTTCGTGTGTCAACTGGATTGTATTAGTGTTTTAGAATTAGCTTTTGCTAAATTTTTCAGTGTGTTAGTGCTTTAGAATTAGGGGACCTAAATATTTGAGTTAGTGCTTTAGGGTTAGTGCAACTAATAATTAGATTAGTGCTGCCCACCACTGCCACTTACTACAAAGAAACTAAGAAATAATACTGACAAAACAAAAAATAAAACAGGTTAGCAAAAAATTTTGTGTCACACAGGGCAAGTTTTATTTAATACAGCAATAAACATAAAACAAACAAACAAAAAACAATATTAATTTCAAAACAGAGTTCAAACAAATGCATGTCACTCAAAAAACGAAGGCAAAGATAGCTACTAAATAAATATTCATATCAGCAACAATAATTTTGTGTGACACCCCGTCTTCCATCACCTATAAAACAAGAGACAATATGTACAATCATACAGGTTTAATAGGACATGCTTAGGAGTTTGACTGCACCATTTCACCACACACTGACCACAACACAAAGGCTGCATATTAACTGACATGTTCACTGAGCTGCCGTGCAAACCCATCATCGGTTCTGAAGAAAAACATAACCCCCCCGCCCCCAACCGTATTCTGTAAAGCTCGGCAAGAAATGTTTGAATAGCGCCGAAATAATGAACGCGTCTGCCTGCAATCTAAAACTGTCCGTCTGCAGAGTCAAACGCGGGAGYCACCGGTGTCTCGTGTTTTCCTGCGCTGAACTGTTGCTAGGCAATGACGAGGAATTTTGGTGCGTTACGATGAACTGGAAACCTTTGTGCAAATCACCACTTTGAGTTCCTCCAGCTACCGGGGGGTGCAGTCCGCAGCTCCGTTAAGACACAACAGCCATGTCAGGAAGAAATTTTCAAAATGACATGTCATTAAAACACAAAAATATGCACACACATGCACACACACACACACACACACACACACACACGCACACACACAAAAGAAGAATGGAAAAATAACTTTCTTTGGACAGGGCCAGCCTGTGCTTTTTGATTATTTCTTCCCACTCCCACATTGTTTTTATTTTTTCCTCCCCCTCCCCCACACACTAGCCCTTTATGATTGAATGTGAAGTTTGTCCAATTTTAAAAGCAATTCATTCAAATTCCACTTCAGAAAACAAAACAAAAAAAAAAAATCTAAATATCTGATTCAGAATATTGTTGCCAGTTTAACCGAATCTACCAACAGACGAACAAAGATCAGCAGAGATGGTTTCAGTCTGCCTGCGGAGCACGAACAGCACCACGGCAATCACAAAAGCTGTGTCTTTATTGCTGCACGGGTCACCTTGTATCACGAGCACCTCAACCATTTATTACTTTACGGTCAGAAGCGCAGAAAAACCCTGCTGCTGCACAGACACGTGACCGTGAAGCCCAACATTTAGGTTGACAAAAAGCATCCGATATTTGCTTTTAAGCGCTGCTTATTGGATGTCAACGCAACGACTGAAGAGTCATCCCGGAAGAAGAGATTTTGGAGTTTGCTACATTTGATAAATCTAGGAGAAATCGACAGGCTCGTTCCAGTGTTCAGTCACCCCCGATGACTGCAGGGAGCGAGACATGAAAGGCCTTTTTCCACAAACTGGATCGGACACCTGTTGACGTAACGGTCACGATGCAATGCTACAAATCTTTTATTTGACAATTCAAACTGGATTTTCCACGTTGCTGATGCAAGTAGAAGTAGAAGCAACCTTGGGCTTTCAAGTGTGCTTCTAATATTTGACCCTGGCCGTAATCACCAACCAGGTCTTAAGAAAAAAAAAACACTCAGCAGCTTCGCGAGTTGAGGCATTTGTTTTCTTGATCACAAGAAAAACATCTTTCCTGTTCTAATAAAGCTTATTTGTTACATTCCTGCAACTCTTGTAGTGACAGCAGAGACATCCTGACAAACTGACTGTTTTATTTATTTATTTAATTTCTGCTGTCATTTTTTTTTCACAGCGCCTCTCTAGCCTCTCCAGATTTGTCCAGCTGGATTCCGCAAAGTGTGACGACCTCACATTATCAATCCATGCAGGCCTGTGCAGTCTAGACTGCTGTCTGCGTTTCCTCTTCCTCCTCACATCACAGCTGAGACATCTCTCTCTCTCTCTCTCTCTCTCTCTCTCTCTCTCTCTCTCTCTCTCTCTCTCTCTCTCTCTCTCTCTCTCTCTCTCTCTCTGCGGTTTGTCTCTGTACTTTCATCAAACAGGGGAAACAGTGGCAAGCTATTTGGCCCAGCACACTTAAAGGATGCACAGGACTGAGTTAATTCCTGCTGGTTTCATGCTAGTTTTATTTCTGCACCTTAAACAAAACAAGAATCCACTGAGCTGTCTGAGAGGCATCACAGGATTAAAACGAATCAACATGTGCATATAGAGAGTGATGTCTGACAGATGGAACGTAGTCGTTTTGTTGCTGCAAACTGTTTACAAGTGAAAAAAACAGAAAAAAATAGCTTTATGGTTGAACCTTGACTGATGCAGTTGTGTTGAAAAGCATTCTGAATGGAGGGAAAAAGGTTCAGGAGCAAGTGGACAGCAAAGTGTCCACCTCTTCTGAGGGTTGTTTGGTTTGCGGGAGGGGTGAGGGAAGGATTCAGCAGGCGATCCTGATAAAACCATCGTGCCCACCCCCCCCTTCCCCGAGACCAAAAAGTGCCGGGGATTGGGAGTCACGTATGAGAACTGCAACCCAACGGGGTCTTCCCTCTCCCCCCCTGTCTCACATGACTGAGCAGCTCTTGGCCTTCTCCTTCTTGAAGGTGGAGGAGAGTAAATCCGACCTGCTGGGCAGGTGGAGGAGTCTTTTGGAGAGGCGGCGGGTGGGGCTGGGCTTGGGGAGCGCCTGCAGTTTGTTGATGCAGGCCACGGCTGCGGTGCGAAACACGCTGTGGATGCTTTTCTCCGAGGTGAACGCCGAGCACTCCAGATAAGCCTCTGCGCCCAGCTGCTTGGCCATCGCTGAGCCCTGCATTAAAACACAAGATAAGGTTGGTTGTTTAAAACACCCGTCACCAAAATGTACTTTAAACGTTACTTTATTATTTTATTTTATAGTGTGATGGAGTCTTAAAGGCAGCATCATAAAAGGCTGTGAAGAAAAGACTTCAACAGGGATGCAGCATAGTGGATTTTTACTTATATCAGATCTGCATCAACTATTCAACCGGTTCACCCCACATCAACACTTATATATTCACTCATTTTTTCCAGATGAAGACACACCTTACCTACTAACAAGCCAAAATTAAAAGATCACTTTGACATACAACTAAAAACATTAATTCTTGCATTTTCTGAAAACCTCCAAAAAACTGTAAAAGTCACCTGATGTTCTTTGTTCGTGTGGATGGATGACCACATTTGACTTTATTGATTTGATGAAGCTAAAAATGCTTTGGAGATCCTCCTGTATCCCTAATTATCATATTTTTAATCATTATGCAGTTATTAGTTGATTAAATTTACTAAACTGATTTGGAAATGGATGAGAATGATTTTATTGTGTACAAACTGTGACAACAAGGGATAAAAATGATACTAAATTGCTATGAAATAAGCAATCAAACTATTCATGCCCTTAGTTTCCATCCAGCTGTGATTAAATGATTTCATTCCTGGCCTTACCTGCTCATAGGTGAGGGGAGTCTGTTTCTGATTGGACAGCTCCATGAGCGTGCAGACGTCTGTGCGGAGGTCGATCTTACAGCCAATGAGGAGGATGCGTGTGCTCGGACAGAAGTCCAGAATTTCCGTTTTCCACTGTGAACACAGATGAGGGATAAGGAAAATTAGTTTTGAAAATGTGTTGTCGAACACTGAGCTGCTTTATAAGAAACCTGGATGGGCTATAGAAGACAGTGGAACCTGAGCCTTTACCTTCTTGACACTGCCGTCCACAGTGTCTGGCCGACTGATGTCGAAACACAACAGGACTGCGTCTGAGTCGCTGTAGCACAGGGGTCTCACGTTGTCATAGTACGGAGAACCTTACAGAGACAAGATGACAATGTTGTTAATATATTTTAAAGATACACGTCTATAACTACAAGTGTGCATTTCCAGCGAAAATGCAATATGAATGCCAGTGCATAATGTTGAAAGATTTTTTGCTGAATAACTAAAAAAAAGAAGCTGAAACTAGCCTGACAATAGGTTTAAAAAGTAGCTGTTGTAGCTAAAAGTAGCACAAAGACACAAAAAGAGCACACTTGCTGAATTAAACAGTAAGAAGCTGAAAATATCACAAACTGGCAGCTGAAATTAACAGAAAGCAGCTGAAAGGAAAACAAAAAGTAGCAGAAGAATTTCAGAGAATGTCAGAACGTCAGCTAAAAAAAKATGATTTTTAAGGGATGGTGGAGACTGCTCCAGTCATTTTCAATGAGAACAAAACAGGAGAAAAAAACTAAATATCTTAAAACATATAAATTGCTGAAGTACCAAAAGCCATAAACAGAATTTCCTGAAGGAGCTGAATAAATTGTTGAAATAGCACAAACATTGCAGAAACAGATACGTGCCAAAAATGTACGGAAGTAAAACTGTCTCAACAGCAGGAATGCTTGATATTGATGCTATAATAGACTGCTCCATTTGACTTTTGACTTTTCAATGWATCTTTAGAACAGGACYATTCAACTAAATTGCTCCGGGGGCCACAGTTAAYGCAGAACAACGGCACAGGTGCCGAACCTCCAGCAATTAAAATYATTATGTAAATAAGCCAAGTATTACAAAGATCTGTTACTTTTGAATTAGTTTATTTTGTTGCATTTAATAATGAATACAACATACAGWAYCCTATGTAATAAATGTAGTGATAGTAAAACAAYATCAGAAACAAAACACATTCTGCCTCCTATTTAACACAAATATTATTTTGACATATTTGACCTGCCAAATTTTTAAACCGATTTTATTTTCACTTTCATTGTTTTATCTTCAACTGCTTGTAGTTTTACCTGTCTTAGATATTCATTGAAATGTTTTTTTACCAGTGTCTAGCCAAGATTCTGACGTTTCTGTTGACACCAAACATGTCTTTATCTAGCTAAAAGAACTTAAAGTAATTAAAGTAGAAAACCGGGAGTTTAGACTTGAGATCATTGAACCAACTGGCGGGCCACATTTTGGTCACTCGTGGGCCACATCCAGCTCGCGGGCCACCAGTTGAATAGCCCTGCTTTAGAAACTCATAAACTGACTTCTCTGTTCCAGAAGAGACCTCTAATTTAGTTGTTTCTTAACTAAACGCTGCTTCAGAACAATTGCAATAATTAGATGCCTTTAAATGAAAACTTCTCAAACACGGGCTCATTTCAACTTAAAAGGAATTTCTTGGACCCAACATTGCCACAGAGCTGTGGGAAAAGTTTGTGTCATGAAAAGTGTCAAAGTTAGTTGTACAGTAACAATAATTAAATTAAAGGTAAAATAAGTTATAACTATATAAAATACAGCTGAGGAAGGGATTTAATACAGTTGCTCCTGTCTTCCTTTAGCTTAAATTCACGTTTCTGTCCTTGAACCTGCTCTTCCCCTTGCTTCTCCTAAATCCTCCTCTGGCCTTTCAGAGGAAGAGAAGATGACAATCGAGCACTAAATCCTCATTGATCTTCTCTTGCAGTAGATTATGCAAGTGGAACGGCAGGGCCTGGGGCAGGCAGACGCTCCCACTCATGCTTAGAATCCTTAAGTAAGCACCCCCCCCCCAAAAAAAAACCAAACAAAATCCTATGCTCAGCAAGCAGCATCTCCAGTCTCCTCTGTTTCCACAGCAACAGCCTTGGAATCCACCATCTGCATCAGACATTCCTCCCACCTCTCTATAAAGGCCTTTTTCTGCCTGTCAATCATTTCAGGCCTAAAAGCGACCCACCCACCCAAACGTAGGGGACATTCCTCCTCTGCAATAGAGCCGAAGAAACTCAAAATCTCCAGYGCTCCGACAGGCACACATTTACTCACACAAGTGCCACACCCACATCCACGCAGAACTCTAGCTCTGGCTGCATCCAGAGGTGAGCTGAATCTGTTATCTGATGAAACGGGAGAAGGGTCCGCTCAGGAGGATTAACGTGTTTACTTCGGTCTCAGCGAGAATCCTCCAAAGGGGATTCAACGCTCCTTTTATAGCTWCAGATAGAGGAAAGCTGTGTGTGTAATCACTCATTACACAACCATCCTAATTGATTTATGTTGTGCAATATGAAGCACCGGAAGAAAACATATAAAACAAAAATAAACGCGTACACACACACACACACACACACACACACACACACACACACACAC